CTGAGATAACAAGGTGTAGAGCCCGGTGGACCAGCATCTGCAGGTCCTACTATCTCTGAATCACAGTTTATTAGTTTTGTCATTGAGAATTTGGTAATTTCAGGACATTTATCAAGGAAATCCCATCAGCAGAGAAGGGACATTTTTCATGATTACTGCAACTCAGGACCAGGTAATTAACCACCAAATACCATTATGTCTGGCTTCCTTCATTCCTTTTCATCAGTTTAAGCATTCACTTCCTCTTTTAGTTACACTGTAGCAGCTGTATCTACAAGGTACACTACAATCAAATGTCAAAGCTTCTTCAGCAGCACTTCCCAAACCTGTGACTTCAAGTACATTAAGGGAGAAGGTGACAAGTGCATGTGAACATCAATTCCCAAATTCCCTTCCAAGTCCCACGTTGTCTTGACCTGGACATAATTTGCTATTCCTATGTTGTTGCTATGTCAGTATCCTGGACAGTTCTCTGTAAACACGTCGTAGGAGTGTCTTCACCACACAGATTGTAACAGTTCATGGCAACAGCTGATCATCACTTCCTCAAAGACAACTCAAGGTGGGATATAAATACTTGCCAATGATATTCATGTACCACGAATGAGTTGTTTAAAAAAATGGATGGCTCTCAGACCACAAATCAGTCAGCATTGTAAAGACATGCCTTCTATCAGGCATGTTGGTAGTTTGTCTAATGATTAGATTACATATTGTTGAAGTCATATCAAGATAAGTGATTAAGAAGGCAGAAAAAATTAAACATATGATGGACTGCAACCATTTTAAAGTGCAGTTCAATCTGTGTGCAACTTAGCTGAATCACAACGTAATTACAGACTAACATTAGATTCTCTATTCTTTCAGGGGATGTGGCCATCGTTGGCTAGGTCAGCACTTATTGCCCATCCCTAGTTGCCCTTGAGAAGTTGGTGATGAGCTGCCTTCTTGAACCGCTGCAATTCATTTGGTGTAGGTTGACCCAAAACGCCACTGGGGAGGGAGTTCCAGGATTTTGACCCAGTGACACTGAAGGAACAACAATATTTCCAAGTTTGGATGGTGAGCAATTTGGAGGTGCACTTGCAGGTAGTGATGTTCCCATGAATCTGCAGCTCTCAACCTTCTGAATGGTTGTAGTTATGGGTTTGGAAAGTGCTCTCTTAGGAGCGTGGTGAATTTCAACAATTCAGGGTTCTCTTAAGGTTAACATGCATTTTAGTTAGGAAGGTAGGAAGGTATTCATTTTAAGAGGGCTAGGATACAAGAGCTTGGATGAGTGGTAAGACTTTATAATGTTCGTCAGACCACATTTGAAATATTGGGAGCAATTTTGAGCCCTGTATCTAAGGAGAGATGTGTAGAAGTTGGAAGACGTCCGGATGGGGTTTACAGGAGTGAAGGTCTTGTCATATGTGGAATGATTGAGGACTCTGGGTTTGTACACGATGAAGTTTGGAAGGATGAGGGTAGAATATCGTTTAAACTTACAGAATACTAAGAGGCCTGGATAGAGTGGATGTGGACAAAATGTTTCCAATAGGAGGACAGACTAGGACCTCAGGACACAGCCTCAGAGTGAATGAAAGGCCCTTTGGAACTGAGAAGAGGAGAACATTTTTCAACCAGAGGGTGGTGAATCTGTGGAATTTGTTGCCCCAGAAGGCTGTGGAGACCAAATCTTTGAGCGTATTTAAAACAGAGAAAGATAGATTCTTGATTAGTAAGGGAATCAAGGGTCATTGGAAGAAGGCAGGAGAATGGGGTCAAGAAACATATCAGCCATGATCAAATGGCAGAGGAGACTCACTGGGCGGAATGGCAGGATCCTGGGACAGGCCAAGCAGAGGCAAGCACAGGAATTCCTAGAGACCTGGTTCTCCACTAAGAAGGCCATCAACAAACACATAGAGCTAGACCCTACATATACTCCACCGCGAAGGAAAACTGAGGTAACCCAGCTCAACGGACACCAGAGTTTAAATAACAGGTGGGATAATACAGCAGCACTTCATCGGAGGCTGCACTGATGATGTTACCAGCAGGGTAATGAAACGTGTGCGGAACAACAAACCAGCTCAGCGAAACAACCAACCACAACCACCACATGGCCTAATTCTGCTTCTATATCTAATAGTTTCACTGAAGGCAGTGATAGTATATACACTACTGAAACAAAAGTAGAAATTGCTGTAGAAATTCAGCAGGTCTGGCAGCATCTGTAGAGAGAAAGTGGAGATGATGTTTTGGATCCAGTGACCCTTCTTCTGAAGAGCGTTCTGATGAAGAATAATTGAACTTACAATGTTTACCCTGCTTTATTCCCACAGATACTGCCAGACCTGTCGAGTTTTCCCAGCAATTTCTGCTTTTGTTTCAGATTTCCTTTGTTTTAGTTCAGATATGTTTGATGCAGAAACCTCACATGACATTATGACCATGAGGATAGATCTAAATACCAAGTTCAGATTTCCAGTTCATTTTCTATTTTAGCAAAATGCTCATTTATTGATATTTTTGAGTGAAATGCCCTTTTCACAGTCATTTAGAGTTGTGTGAGATCAACTTGGTGTTTTTGAGCCATTTGGTTTGTACAATGGAGTACCATCTCTGAGCACCAACTTATTGACTGATTTGTAGGTGAAATCTTACCACTGAGTCCATCTCTTTCTTGAATTTTGGAACATTTCTGGATTCATATAAATATATCGTTTTCACTTCTGACTTGGATGTTATGTAAGACAATATGCAGTTTCAACTTTCCCAATCCTATAAATAATTTCAGTGATTATGCTCTGAAGTTTCATGATTGACTTTAAGCATTCTTTATATTCTCTATGAATTAGATTCCACTCCAGAGATGCTTTTATGGTCAACAGTGAATAGTTCTGATCTTTAATTATATATAGTACTCTAGTAATCATTTTCTATTTTAAAGCAACCATTAGTTCTTGAAAAAATCCTCAGCTTTGTTCCTCCTGGTCTGTGTAGCTTTATATTGGCTAGCTGAAGACTCACTTTTGTATTTTTAATTCTGCATCTGAAGGAATCAAAACTGCTGCTCCAATGTCTAATTTAAAGCGTACCAGCATCTCTGTTTTCCAATAATTTCCACTGTTTGTTTTAAATCTTGCTTTAGAAGGAGCACTCAATGCTTTGTGAATCTTCTACCACATGGATTCAGTTTTGAAAAGAAATTTTGAATGTTCTGGCCATTTTTGTTCTGTTTGAAAATGCCCCAGATTTTTACACCAATGACTTGAGACAATTTTCACAGGACAACTCCAATGTCCACACCTTTCTCTGCCACACCAACAGCAGCTAGTCTTCAATAGTTTTCTTGGTATACATCTCTCCTTCTCTCTGTCTTACCCATTATGTCTGATGAGTTCAACTACATCCACTATGTTGCAATTTGGGCTGTTCCTGTCTCCTTGGACAACCATAACAACAAAGTTGCTGGAAAAGCTCAGCAGGTCTGGCAGCATCTATGAAGGAAAAAACAGAGTTAACGTTTCGGGTCCGGTGACCCTTCCTCAGAACTGTTCTGTGGAAGAGTGACCGGACCCGAAATGTTAACTCTGTTTTTTCCTTCACAGATGCTGCCAGACCTGCTAAGCTTTTCCAGCAACTTTGTTTTTGTTCCTGATTTACAGCATCCACAGTTCTTTTGGTTTCCTTGGACAACCAGTTAGTTTTGTCTCCTAAATTCTGCTTGTCTACTTAATTGAATAATCCTCAGTGTCAACTTATCTTGGGACTGCAGGATGATATTTCATCCATATTTCAAAGCCTAATATGTCATAATTAACTCTTATTTCAGAGAAGTCAAAAATAGTGTATGGTAATACAAATCATTACCAGATGCATTGATGTTTTCTTTCCAATTCTAAGTACATTTATTGAATTGTGTACATTTCATGATGGTGTTCATGTGACGATCAAATTATACCTCTAATAAGCAATAACTTTGTCACACAAGGCTTTACTTTCATTGATGCATAGTGTATCCACAATGCCAACAATACAATTGCTTGTTGGTACAACAGTATATTGATAAGACCATAAGACCAGAATCCCTAAAGTGCAGAAAGAGTACATTCAGCCCTTCAAGTCTGCACCAACCTTCCAAAGAGAACCCCTCCCAGTCATAGACCTTGACCCTATACCTGTAACCCCACATTTACAATGGCTAATCCACTTAGCCTACACATTCCTGGATATTATGGGGCAATTTAGCATTGCCAGTTCACTTAACCTGTGCATCTTTGGACTGTGGGAAGAAACCGACGCAGACACGGGGAGAATGTGCAAACTCCACACAGTCACCCGAGGCTGGAATTAAACCCAAGTCTCTGGCACTGTGAGGGAGCAGTGCTAACTACTTAGCCACTGAGCAGCACGCTATCCTCACATATCCATATTTTCCTAAACTTTCCAGAGTCTGGTATTGTTGTAAACTCAGGGTGGAATCGTGGCTCAGTGGTTAGCACTGCTGCCTCACAGTGCCAGGGACCCAGGTTCAATTCCACCCTTGGGTGACTGTCTGTGTGGAGTTTGCACATTCTCCCCATGTCTGTGTGGGTTTCCTCTGAGTGTTCTGGTTTTCTCCCACAGTCCAAAGATGTGCAGGCTAGGTGGATTGCCCATGCTAAATTGCCTGTAGTGGTCAGGGATGTGTAGATGAGATGGGTCTGGGTGGGATGGTCCAAGGGTCGGTGTGGACTTGTTGGGCCGAAGAGCCTGTTTCCACACTGTAGGGATTCTATGAAAAAGCAATGGGTGTGTTGCTAAATGTCCCTGAGATTTTCAAGTTACGTAAGAGTGTAATAAATGTACAAACAAAATTTAAAATGAATTATCTGAGAACCCTCTATCTCTTTAAAAGCTCCAATCATGGTTAGAATAGTATTCCTGATTTGTTGTTCCTTCTGCTCATGAAGTATTAGCCCTTTGGTAGATAGATGATTGAAATCTTAGTAGAAAGTAAAAGACAGACATTTGTCATGCGCTAAACACCATATGAATACAAATTACTTCATTGGAATGTAAATGACAGACTTGCAGACTTGAAACAGCTTTAAGGTGAGATTTCTACATAATTTTAATGTCGTTTGTTTTTGGATTTTTGGAATTTCAACTAGTGGTGTATGGGTTTTCTGTATGTCTAAAGGGGTTTAGTGATTAACTTGTATGTATTTCTGTAGATGTCATTCCTTTTGAAATACTGTTTAGAGAGATTGTCTGGTGTGTTATGGGGTTTTGTTTACATTGGGAGAGTTTACAAGTGAATGAAGTAAACAATCTTCTTCAAATAGAAGATTGTGGACCATTTGTGTGTTTCAAAGACTACCTAACTTGAGGGAAGGTAAAAAAGAGCTTTTGGGTTTCTTATTAGCAGATTGTAGAATTCAGGACTTAAGCTGGATATATTAAACTGTCAGTCATGATGAAAAGACGTAATTTAGAATTTTTAAGAAGTACCAATGTAAACAGTTTAGTCTGAGTAGTTCCTAATCTGATGAAGGGTCTAGGCCCGAAACGTCAGCCTTCCTGCTCCTATGATGCTGCTTGGCCTGCTGTGTTCATCCAGCTCTACACCTTGTTATCTCAGATTATCCAGCATCTGCAGTTCCTACTATCGCCTAATCCAAAGTGTTTGGTTAACCCTGAAGGGGATCTTCCGAAGCTGATAAAATCCAGAGTCAGTGGTACAAAGGCTTTACTATGAGGCTGTCAGATTCTCATGATAGAGGCCACCATTAAAGTAAGCCTTTTTGATGTGAAGTAGTAGAGAATCCTCTCTGGTGGGAATACTGAAAAGGAGCATTTTTGCAATTAATGGAATTAAAGATTGTATTTTACAGAGTCATAGACCTTTCGGTCCTACCAGTCCATCCGAACATAATCCCAAGCTAAACTAGTCCCACCTGCCTGCTTCCGGCCCATATCCCTCCAAACCTTTCCTATTCATGTACTTGTCCAAATGTCTTTTAAACATTGTAATTGTACTCACATCCATCAGTTCCTCAAGAAGTTCATTCCACAGGCAAACCACCCGCTGTGTAAAAAATTTGCTCCTCATGCAGTTTTTAAATTGTTTTCCTCTCACCTTATAAATGTGTCCCTAGTCTTGAAATCCCCTATCCTAGGGAAAAGACAACTACCATTAACTCTATCTATACCCCTCATTATTTTATAAACTTTTAAGGTCACCTCTCAACATCCTACACTCCAGTGAGAAAAGTCCCAGCCTTCCTTTGTAACTCAAACCTTCCATACCCGACAACATCCTGGTCAATCTCTTCTGAACCCTCTTTGGCTTAATAATATCCTTGCTATAACTGAGTGCCAGACGTTCAAAATCTTTATTTTTTGGTATCTGAAAATAGTTTGGTTTGTTCTATTTTATCATATACTTCCCATTATAAACTTGTATTAATGTGAAACCCAAATCTGCAGGATTGCGTGTTAGTGTTTCAGTGAAAGACCACCTTGTTAAAACAAAAACAAACCTATTAAGCCAGGTTTCAGACTGAGAACTGGCTTGTCCAGTAATAACAACAACTGGGAATATAATAGTGACAACTTTCTGATTGCAATAACTGTTCCAAATATTTCTTATATGCAGATTTATTCATTCCTGCATGTCTGGAAGGGGAACTTGGAACCCTGACAATCAGTAGCCCTTTTGGCTTTACATTGGTGTCCTTTCCACGTGTGAACATCAGCAAGTGTTTTGTTTTAACCACTTAAGATACAGTTCATGCATAATAGCACAAATATTAATTTATCTTAATTCCAAATTGGGTTTAACGAATTAGGATTCATACCAGAGTATTATACATTCACTTTGTTACATTGGGAAAATATTTGGAATTTAGATTGTTTACTTTTGGATTTTTTTTTCAGATCCCTGAATAATTACTAAAATACAATACATTGATTAAAGAAAAAATCCGAATGAACTGTGGATGCCGTAAATCAGACACAAAAACAGAAATTTCTGAGGAAGGGTCACTCGACCTGAAACGTTAACTCTGATTTCTCTGCATAGTGCTGCCAGACCTGCTGAGATTGTCCAACAATTTTGGTTTTCGATACGACCTTATTTCATTTGATATTATCATTCACTATAAATTCAAAACCTCTCCCTCCCCCGTCCCCCCCATTCATAAGCACTTAACGACCTGAGTCAGATTTCCTGCGAAAACAGCAACCGCATTAACACTGCCACACTTCAAAGTTTCCAAAGAGATCGGAATGTCAGCATAAAAATTGCCATATGACTAATTGGAATTTGAGATTTATCCCCTGGCTAGCAAATATGTCAGAAACAAGAAATCATTGCAATAAGTTTAGGTTTGTTGGATGATGTATCATTGTAGGTTTGACTTGTTTTAGTCGAAAACAGAAAACTTCCAACTCTGAAAAAAGGCATTCTTAAAGTATGAGGCATATAGGAGGAGGAGCCACGGCTGCGTCCAGATGAGCAATGCTGATTTGAAAAGGCCGGAATTGTGCAGCGCTTGCTACTTGGGAGTGTCTTGGTGCTGGATACACGGCTCGCTGAAGCAACATGAAACTTGGGTGTGTTCAGTTGTTTTAAGGAAAAAAAAATCAGCCTGCCAGCTGCACAGTGAGGATTTAGTGGTAAGTAGCTGAACTCCGTTACGGTCTAACATTTTAGAGAGAAAAAATAATGTTTCGCGAGGCTCAGTTTTGATGCCCGTTTCCATATTTTGAATAGACTTTCCAGTTGCTTTGAATAGTCAAATATTACAGTTTTTTGTCTGGAAAACGTCAAGACTGAACTGATGTTTTTACCGCACGAGAAGCAATGTACAGCCCTTTACCAAACCACACCACACCCTTTAAATTACTTCTGAAGTGCAGATCTTTTAGTTATGTGGACAAATACAGCAGGCAAATTAAACGTAGAAAATTAGATTCTATTTAGTGTTTTTTTTAAATGTCAGTAGAGAGAAATATGTTGGTCATTACAGCAGAAGAACGCGCAGATTTTTTTTTCCCCACAGATATTATGTTAATCAGTTCAGTACACACGGAGATGATGTTGACATCTCATTTGGGAGTTTGCCCGACTGTGTAGCATACCCTCAATATCCCAGCGACATGTGTAGCCTAGTTTAAATCTTTTACCACCATCCGATTGCCACCAAACGGATTGAGGTGAGTCTGGGTAATTTAATCATCTTTCACAAATAACAAGCGTGTTGAAGAGTTAGAATAAAGTTGTCTTCTTAAATGCAAAAGTTATCAATTTACAGCATTAAAAACATATGCTTATGAAAAACTCAACAGATGACAACGCCACAGATGTAGAAGATCAGTCACCCCAGCACTTGGAATTTTTAAACTGTTAAAGTCAGCCCCCAGCTGGTATGATTAAGTTCTGCCATAATGAGAGCTTACATTCCTTAATTGCATTCGTGTTTAAACAAAAAGTCTCTGGTCCACAGCTAGCATATCAGTGTAAAATAACATCGTTTTGTTTGTGTCACTTGCTCTACTTGACAGCAAACCCTCCTAATTTCAGTTAAAATGAACAGCTTTCCTGCTCAGGACTAACAAAGATCATCTGAAGTTATTTCCATATGACTTGCTCATTTTGGAAAAAAATTATGTACAAAGCAGAAAAGTCTATTTCGAGTCATTTTGCAAGGAGTTGATGCTGATCTGCATAATTGATGATCAAGGAATGTCCTTTATGTATTGGTGAATGACAGTTCTTATTCATACATTGCTTTTTCAATGTCAATATTCTAAAAAAATACAAATCACCAGGAACTATTTAACTTTGATCAACATTGCTGACTAATTTAAAAATTAGTTATGGGTGTGGCAGGCTGCACCTTCTTTTAAAAAGAGTAGGGAAACATACTTGCAATATTTATGAAATGAGATATGCATCCTTTTCTGCTAAGAAAGACAAGGCATTCTTGTACATCAGAGATAGTAGGAACCGCAGATGCTGGAGAATCTGAGATAACAAGGTGTAGAGCTGGACGAACACTGCAGGCCAAGCAACATCAGAGGAGCAGGAAGGCTGACGTTTCAGGCCTAGACCCTTCAGAAATTTCTGTACATTAGTTATTTTGCTGTAATACTGTACAAGAAATACCCCATTATGTTGTCATTAGCTAACAGTTTTCTGAACTTGAAACAGCAGTGGATTCAACCCTATCATGATCATGTAACAGACATTGCGTGCAAAGCCCAGTGCTGAAGTTAAACTTGATAGTTCGTTTTTAAAATAGAATCAGATAAGTGTTTGACTACAGAAGACACTGATTTGTTAAAGGACTTTAAAGTACAGATAGAGGTGATCTAATTACAGGAGCGCAGCTTTAATCTAATTTCAGTGACACTGTCTAATCCAGGAGATTGAGGATGCAAAACAGGCAAACTCATTCTGACTGTTAACTTTCCATCACATGCAGCATACAATAAATTTCTGATGTATATTATTTTTATTCACATTGGATGTGGGCATTACCCAGCCCTAGTTACTCTGGAAAAATGTGGTGGTGAGCTGCCGTCATGAACCACTGCGATCCATTTACCGTACATAGACCCACAGTGCCAGTTAGGGAGAGAGTTCTAGGATCTTGACCCAGCAACACTGAAGGAACGGCAATATAACTTCATGTCAGGATGGTGAGCAACTTGGAGAGGAAGTTGCAGGTGGTGTCATGCAATGAATCTGATTCCCTTGCCAACTAAAACCTGAAAAAGACCTGCAGATGCTGGAAATCCGAAACACCAACAGAAATCGCTGGAAAAGCTCAGCAGGTCTGGCAGCATCTGTGAGGAAAAATCAGAGTTAACGATTTGGGTCCAGTGATACTTCGTCAGAACTGATGGTAGCTAGGAAAAGTTGTTCTTATTATGCAGAAGATGGGGGTAGAGGGGAGGTGGTGAACAGGAGATGGGGTAAGGAGTAAATGATAGGTGGTGATAGAGCTCAAGGAGAGAGAAGAGAGAAGAACAATTGGACAGACAAAGAAGTGGATAATGATTAGCCTAGGAGAATGAATAGCAATTACTGGGATAACAAGGCCTGGTGTGGGGCTTGGAGTAAGGACATGGGAGAAGGTGCCTCAAGCCCTAAAATTGTTGAACTCTATATTGAGTCCAGAGTTCAAGGGGAAAATGAGGTGGTGTTCTTCCAGTTGGTGCGGAGCTTTGCTGGAGCACTGCAGCAAGCCCGGAGACAGATGTTGGCCAGGGAACACGGTGTGTAGAAGTGGCAGGCAACAGGAAGCTCATGGTCTTTTTTGCAGACAGAACATAGGTGTTCTGCAAAGCAAACACCCAGTCTGCGCTTTATTTCCCCAATTCCCCAAGGATACCATATTGTGAGCAGCAAATGCAGTAGACGAGATTGAGTGAAGTGCAAGTAAATCACTGCTACATCTGAAAGGTGTGATTGGGACCTTGGATACTGAGGAGGGCTGAAGTAAACAGGCAGATGTTACACCTTCTGCGACTACAGGAGAAGGTACCGTGAGAATGTGGGGACGTGTTGAGTGTGAAGGAGGAGTGGACCAGAGTGTCCTAGAGGGAATGATCCCTGCGAAAGACGAACAAGGAAGGGGAGGGGAATGTGTGTCTGGTGGTGGCAGAAATGGTGGCTAATGATCCTCTTGATATGGATGCTGGTGGGATTGTAGGTAAGGACAAAGGGGATTCTATCTCTGTTGTGGGAGGGAAGAAAGTGGGTGAGGGATGAAGTGTGGAAGATGAGTCAGACCCGGCTGAGAGCCCTGTCAGTCACAGTGCTGGGGATTCCTTGGTTGAGGAAGAAGGTGGACATTTGAGGCCCCCTTGTTGAAGTTGGCATCGCCAGAACAGACGAGACAGAGATGGAGGAACTGGGAGAATGGAATAGTGGTTTTACAGGAAGCAAAGTGAGGATGTATAGTCAAGGTAGCTGTGGGAGTCGGTCGATTTGAGGTGGATATTAGTGGCCAGTCTATCCCCGGAAATGGAAACAGGAGATGTTGAGGAAGGAAAGGGAGGAGTCAGAGATAGACCAGGTGAAGGAGAGTGTGTGGTGGAAATTGGAAGCAAAATGGATAAATGTTTCCACTTCCAGGTGAGAGGGGGGAAAAAAAACAGCACTGATGATATCATTAGTGTCCCAGAGAGAGAAAAAAAAAAAAAAAAAAAAAAGAAGGAGTTGTAACATAGAAACATAGGAGGTAGGAGCAGGAGGCCATCTGGCCCTTCAAACCTGCTGCACCATTCTTCACAATCATGGCTGATTGTCCAACTCAATAACCTAATCTTGCTTTCTCTCCATAAACTTGTATCCAATTTGCCCCAAGTGCTATATCTAGTTGCCTCTTGAATACATTCAACTTCATGTGGTAATGAATTCCACAGGCTCACCACTCTTTGGGTGAAGAAATGTCTCCTCTTCTCCATCCTAAATGGTCTACCCCAAATCCTCATGCTGTGACCCCTGGCTCTGGACACACTCACCGTCAGGAACGTCGTCCCTGCATCTACCCTGTCCCTGTCCTGTTAGAATTTAAGCCTCTGGACATCCCCCTTATTCGTCTGAACCCCAACGAAAACAATCCCAACCTAGTCAGTCAATCTCTCTTCGTAAGTCAGTCCTGCCATCCCCAGAATAAGCTTGGTAAACCTTCGCTGCACTCCCTGGAGAGCAATAGCAAACTTGATCGGATTGAACAAAGGGTTTTTCACGTACCTCACAAAAAGAGGCAGGCATACCTGGGGCCCATGTGGGTACTCATGGCCACCCCTTTGACCTGAAGAAAATGAGAAGGGTTAAAAGAGAAGTTGTTAAAGTTGAGGATGAGCTTGACCAAGAAGAGGAGCATAGTGATGGATGGGAACGGTTCAGGCCTTTTTTCAATGAAGAAGCGGAGAGTCCTGAGCCATCCTGATGGAGAAGTGGATGTGTAAAGGGATTGCACGTCCGTAGTAAAAAGGGAAGGTGGCTGGAGCCTGCAACCTGGAAAGTTGTGAAAGCAGAGGAGTCGCAGATGTAAGTGGGAAGGGACTGGTCAAGGGGAGAAGAAAAATCAAGTCAGGGTAGGAAGAGATGGGTTCTGAAGGGCAGGAGAAGGCAGAAACAGTGGGTCTGCCCAGGCAGTCCTGTTTGTGGATTTTGGGGAAAGAGGTAGAAGTGGGCTGTGTGGGCTTGCGGGACTGTGAGCTTGGAATCGGTGGGTGGATGGGTTGTTGGTGGTGGTTGGGGTGGGGATGGTGGAGGGAAAGCTGGTAGAGGAGTAGGAGTAGAGATCACCAGATGAAATAAGGTTAGTGACCATTGTGGGCACAATAGTCCGGGGGAAGATAGGAGGAGGTATTGAGACCTGGTACTCTCCCAGTGCAACATAGGAGGTCAGTCCGCCAGACGGGAATAGCACACCCTCGTTGGCAGGCCTAATTATAAAGTCATGGTTGGATCTGAGAGCATGGAGTGCAGTCAGTTCAGAGGGAGATTGGTTGGAATGGGTAAGCGGGAAGTGAAATTGGAGCAGTAAGGTTGTAGACTTGCTCGCCGAGCCAGTGGGTTTGGTTGCTAACGGTTTTGTCACCTTGCTGGGTGTAACATTGTCAGTGCACCTCCAGGTGATGCGTTGGTGTTCTGTATGTGCCTCGTTTTGCTGGGGTGGTTAGGCATCACTTCTGGTTCTGTTTTTTTTTCAGTGGTTTGTATATCGGGTCCAGTTCAATGTGTTTGTTGATGGCGTTTCGGTTGGAATACCAGGCCTCCAGTACTTAGCTGGCGTGTTTCCTGTTTGGCTAATGCTATTATGCAAGATGTTGTCCCAGTCGAATTCATGTCCTTCTTTGACCATGTGTATGGAGACCAATGAGAATTGGCCGTGTCTCTTGGTGGCTAATTGGTGTTAGTGTATTCTTATTGTCAGTTTTCTTCCAGTTTGGCCTACATAATGTTTTTCACAGTCTTTGCATGGTATTTTGTATATTATGTTAGTTTTATTGATTATTGGTATGGGATCCTTTACATTCGTCAGTAGCTGTCGCAGGGTGGTTGTTTGTTTGTGGGCCACCCTGATACCTACGGATTGGAGTAGTCGTCATCTCAGATTTATCTATGACATATGGTAGGGTGGCAAGTTAGTCTGTCATGGAGGTAAGTGGCTTGTGCTTTTTGGGTATCCATTCCTTTTAAAAACTCCGTATAAAAAAGTGCACCTGTTCTGCTTTGCAGAGTTCCGGATTGCTGCAGTGTGTTGGGGTCCATTTGAATAATGCCCTGATGCATTGGCTCAGCAAGCAAGTCTACAACTTCATCCACAGCCCGAGCTATAAATCTTCTCAAATACCTTGAGGCAATCAATGTCACATCAGCAGTTCCAGGGCTTGAGGCTGTGTCTTAGCCCAACCCCTACATAATCAGGCCTTGCCCTCACCTGGGCTGTTACCACACAACCCATTGTCAGGCACTAATAGCGTCCATTATGCTACTATTTATTTCCCCAAACTGGCTTTTACCCACCCTTTTGCCTGTCCAACTGTGTTTCGCTCTCTTTGGGCTCGATCTCCACTCATGTTTATCTTCCCTTCCCCACCCCCACCCCCTCAAATCTTCTATACAAATAGAAATCTTTTCCTAGCTACCATCAGTTCTGGAGAAGGGTTACTGTATCTGAAACAGTAACTCTGATTTCTCTCCACAGAAACTGCTAAACCTGCTGAGTTTTTCCAGCAATTTGTATTTTTCTGTTCAAGAAAAATTATTGTTTGGCACCACAGAGCAGATATGGCTGAAAGCAGAACAGCTAAAAAGAGGACAGTTGTTTTAAAAAAAAAAACAAACACAAACACATTCTTCAGACAGTAGAATCCTATTTTCCTGCAGGAGGTCATTAGAAATATAAATACTCTGCTGCCTACCATAACAATTCTAGATATGTTACAAGCTGCTATTTTCTGAGTCCTGTAAAGCAAGTATTTTTAATTGTAGACTGAAATGGAAAAAACAACAACTGCAAGGATTTCTGCACTTTTAAAAAATAACTGATTGTAGATGATCCAGACAAAGACACAGTTGTTATTCAACCAGTAGTTGAAATGTAGTTTGCATATGAACTGGAGCCAATGGCTCTGAAAAATGGAGATTCAGTGAGCAACAAGTACCTCATTAGTCACTAGTCTACAGAACAGTCAACAAAGGCCATCTACCAGCTAATGCAGAATCAGAGATAGTAGGAACTGCAGATGCTGGGAGAATCCGAGACAACAAGGTGCAGGGCTGGATGAACACAGCAGGCCAGGCAGCATCATAGGAGCAGGAAGACTGACGTTGAGCCTAGACCCTTCATCAGAAAAGGGGGAAGGCGGATAGAAGATGGATAGGGGAGAGGAAACAAACAGGTCGAAGAGGCGGGGATGGAGCCAGTAACGGAGAGTGCAGGTGGGGAGGTAGGGAGGAGATAGGTCAGTCCATGGAGGACGGACAGGTCAAGGGGGCGGGATGAGGTTAGTAGGTAGGAGATGGAGGTGCGGCTTGAGGTGGGAGGAAGAACAGGTTAGGGAGGCGGGGACGAGCTGGACTGGTTTTGGGATGCGGTAGGGGGAGGGGAGATTTTGAAGCTTGTGAAATCCACATGGGAACCCTGCAGCCCAAT